GAATAGTTTTGAAAAAAATGTATTATAAATTAGTTTTTATTTTCTCGAAAATTACGTTTTTTATATCAGGTTTGTCTACGAACCTATTAACAGAGTTGTTAATGATATTATTTTTCAATCATGTGCACGGATAACTAAAAATTGTTGGCAATATAATCTTACGTGAGTTTGTACGTATGCGGGTCGAAACACGAAGGTAAACACTGTTTTTTTAATTCACATGTGAAAACGCCATGGTTAAAAACAAGTATAATTCTTTGGTAAAGTGATTTATATTTTCCTTCTTCATATCACTGTATCTGAGATCCGAAGCCAGTGCACCCATGTAAATTGCAACATATTACAAAACGAACTGCGCTCGAAGGAATTTTTGCAAAACGAGGTATGTTGCACGCGCAATTAACGACCGCGTATTTCAATTAAACTGCGATTTTCCGAGTTTCGTAGTTGATGAAAATGCAAACCGAGCCAAAACCGCAGTTTCATTGGAATAATTTATAACAGCACTGTTGTGTACATTGTTCCTCCTTCGTTAACTCATTAACAGCTTTTTTCTTTACGATTCTTTACGATTCGATATATCGCTGCAATTGTCCATTATTCAAAACGTTGCTATACAACCTTTGGGTAATAGATTTGGAAAAATCATGCGGTACAAAGGTCGATTCACACAACACAGTACGTGTCGTTGTCGGTCAACGTGTACAGAGCGAATCCGACCGTAATGGCGACGACCAGCGCGTAACGTTACGAATTTCCGTGAACACGTCTTAATTAAATTGTTTAATCGTATCAACGCGGCCCATGATATCGTAATCGATCAGAGATATGTATCAAAGTGTGCGTGCGCGCGTTTTTACGACGACGACGAAAAAACAACAAAGATTACGGACTGTCCGTAAACACGCGAGAAAACCGATCAGCTGTTTTTCTCTTGCCGATGATTTTGCGTTCCTTTCGACGACCGTTCATTGTATCGAAGTGTCGACAGTGTCAAACTCGCGGTTCGCGACCCGATGGTCGGTCGAATTATTGAAAACATAATTGTTATTACGGTTTTCTCGAGAGACGAAAAAAAGTTAGGCGTGCACGTGCTTGTTCGTTTTGCGATTCGAATCCGTAAATTTCTGCAACATTTAACCGTCAAGTGTCCAATCGATCAAGGTATTTATAATGTAAACATCATGTACACCTATTACACGTTAATTTAACCTCATTCGTAAGATATCACTGTACCTACCGTAAATTTCGCAATACGTTGCGTGTACTTTTATTTTTAATTACGCCTAGTTGTATGTATTATATGTGTATCGCTCAAGTCGATAGAGTTATTTCTTTATTTTTACACACAGTTTTTTTTATTCCCGTGAGACAGACATGACGGTCGATGACGAACGGACTGCTGAGGATGTCACACGTAATATGACTGTAATGAACATGCTTAGGTGCAGATTATAAACGTGTTGCCGTATACTATTTTACTTCTTGAGTTATTCAAACGACGGTACCAGTCGAACTTTTATATTTCGCTTCGTACTTAATTCGCATTACGTCGGTGTACGAGTTTTTCGGTCAATTCTCTCAGTTTATCGTTAGAATTTAGTATATTATATTTATTTTTATATATTGAAAGGTGCCTATCATTCTTATATATTGGTTTTAAATTACTCGGTGTATAGAATTTAATTTAATGTGAATTGTTCTTGTACATACCTAAACAGTTAAACACGCTTGTTGTTTAAATATGCCATAGTTAGACACATTTAAATTTGCGATTACGGTTTTGCGACTTTTACAAGTCTATGGTTTGGTTTTGAATTTCCTCAGGGCGCATAGATTTAACATGAGTGATAAAAAACACGAATTTTGTGACTGTCGTATCTACGCGTTGGCCGTGGGTGTTATTACAAAATATAGTTGATAAATTAAAACGTACATCTCTCACGATTTCGATTTCGGCGATTTTCTGTAGACGATTTATTACGAAAGCATCGTTGGTAAACATTTATTACATGTTGAAATCTAAACTAACGTTTGTCTTCACATTTATTATTAGGGGCGGAGAGACTAGAATATTTCAATCAAACAGATCCGCGAAGAACTTCGTTCCTTGACCCGAACTCTTATTTAAATTATACTATACGTACATTAACACAATATTATTATTAAATATTTAAATTATTATTATTTTTTACACATATTACGATCATTAGCTTCAACAAAATATAACACTGAAATATATATTGATACTCTTAAGCAATGTAACATGGTTACCTACCATATGTTTAGATAATACTTGAAAACATGTTTTTTTAATTTGGACTGTTATTTGGAAATTTATAGTTGGAGTAGCGTTCTGAAATATTTTAATTTTTAATTTTTTTATTTACGTTTAATATACATTTAAAAACAAAATATATGTGTATATTAAATGTTTTTTAAATATTTTGATGACATGTCCTACCTAACTCTTATAATCATATATTAAAAAAAACTGTACCAATACAGTCTAAATTGACAATTATTTTCTGAGTATACAACCACAGAAATTTCATATATTTTGTGATACAACGTTAATTGTTAAAATACATAAATAATATTATATATAAATTAAATTTTACGTTGTTCAATAATTAAATTCGATTTGTTCTGGTTCAACAATTTTCTCTTAATTTATTAAGTTTTACCGATTAGTTCGGTTGTAATTATTGGATGTTTAATTTTACTCAATTTTTTTTTATTCGTTGTAAATACGTTTAACGTTAACACATTTCAGTAATTGTTTTCAAAGTTTAGCGTTCGTAACTAAACCAAGTAATCAAGCTCTGATTTAATATACATACATTTTTATTAGCTTCAAGTTATCATATGTATAAATTGTTTTCGTACTCTGAAACTAAGAACTAAATTCATAGGCGCGTTTACGGGAGGCTTTAACTCGGCATCGGGTGGGTACTGGCCCCTCTGGGCGGATTGTGCATCCGACAAAACCATAGATGAAAAAAAAGTTGTGTGATCTGTACCTAGTACCGGCGGTACCAGTAGAGTACAGTATAGTATTATTAAGTATGTGTTTTTATTTTAGTTTTAAATTTATTTTTATTATTTTGGCACGCCAATGATATTACTTTTTGGTCTTAATTGAAAAATATACTTATCATTGCTAGTTTTTTTCTTAAAAATAGATATTTTTTCATGTCCAAAAAAATAAATATTGGTCTCACGATTTAAAAATTTGTTACGTCTATAGGTCACCCAAGTCTGAACACGCCTAAATACATTTATAGTCTGATTTTTATTGTAAGCCTTGAGTTATGGAGGGTTTAAATTATCTAGCTCCCTCTTTTGCCTTTATGATTATGTATACAAACTACAAACTACCAGTTTTCGTTATTTTATAGTAACGATTTTTTTTTAATTATAATGCTTTCAAAATAAATATTTTTTTTCTAAAGTTTGTAATATTATACGAAGAGTTTTAATATTTTTGATTTTGAAACAAGAGAATAGCGTTCATTAGTATTACTTAATACTTAATAATAATAGTGCATGTATGTATTGAAGTTAAAAAATATGTTTTTTTCGGTAGGTTTATAAAGCTTGTTGAATGTAAAATTGGAATATTAAATACACAACGCTACGCACAGACCTTAATTATGGTATAATACATAAATGTTAATTATATTTTATTCATCATATTTGAGTGATCCGACTTTAGAACAATGCATTAATATAGGTAAATTGTTTCTATACTCGTGAATTCTTTGTCCGTAGATCTTTCAACAATAATAGTTTTGTTGACTTATTATTAACTTGAATTTTAAATAAATAAACATATTTTTTCAAATTGAACCAATAATGTTTTATCTTATAGTGCAAGAAATATGTATTTGTATAAGTTATCGTTTAAAAGTTAATTGAATTAAATTAAAAATAAATACCGTAAGATAATTAATGATTTTTTCAATACTCTTTAAGTATGTTTTGGGTATAGAATAACAAATATATATATATATACATTTTTTTATATAATCTTTCTATATTTTTAATTAAGCATTGACTATTGATATTATTTACAAATATTTTATTTGAACTCGAGTAATTACAAATATTTAAATCGTTTCGATAAAAAATGAGCATGTCGAATACGGGGTCGAATATATAATTGTGATTGCATTGAAAAAAAAAATGCTTAGGTTTAAAAAACTTTTGGTACTTTTACTTGGGTTTAACCGATCAAATTATTCTTTTTTTTTTAAGAAAGGTCGTTTCTTTTTCTTCGTTTAACCTTTTAACTATTATTATCATAATTATATTATTTTATTCCGTGTTGTTAATACAATTTGTTTGTACTTACGATAGCCTATGTCGTCAGTTTCTATAGAGACACAATATTAATTCGAATCGTCTACTCAGCTCCGAGAGATTCGAATAACCAACATTTACTTCAAAGATAATATACGATCTACAATTTTTTGGAATTGTTGGGATTGTGAACAGAAGCGTGCCTCTGTACAATATAATAATATACTCGACGCTTAAACGGATATATATTTTAAAACGGTTCAGACATTGTCGTGTGAAAAACGTGTGTTGGTATTTTTAATCACTTAAAATACGAAAAGTCTATAGAGTTCGTCGCGTGCTAATCGCGCACCTGTAGTACGCTAATAATAGGTTTGCTATGTAATAATATTAATGTTGACCCAGAGGTGGAACTAGAATTTTTTACGCCCCGAGGAAAATGTTAAAATTACCCCCTATCATAGACCAATAATCAAATACTCTTGTGGAGAATTTTCTTCTAATAATTAATTTAGTATCGTACTTATTGAGTTTTAACCTAATATCAGTATTTAAGAAAGTAAAAATATTAAATTAGTTGTTAATAATTACAAAAATTATACCCTCTACAATTTTATGCCCGTGGATAAATCCGCCCCCGTGTGGACCGACCGCCGGCATCGCGACAGTAGCGTGTTTCGCGCAGCCGTTCTTACCGTGGTGGCCGACAACGATGTCTCGTCCGCATACTTGGCCGTGCCCGGCCACTCCGACTGCGTCTCTAGCTTGTCGTGCAGCGATTTCCATTGGCCCATCACCGGGCTCATGATGGGAGTGAGGAAGTGGTGTTGTCGGCGAGCGATCACGTGTTCGCCAATGTGGTGACGGCTGCCGCCCCTGGCCGCCGACGAGGGGCCCGCGGCGTGCTGCAGCCAGAGTCTGCGGGGCAGCGCGGAGCTTCCTTCACCGCCACCAGTCTGCCGCCACTGGTGCCCGCGGCCGGCGAACACGGAGTGCCGATCGCCGGCGGAGAGTTGGAGCAGCGCGGCCACGAACGCGGCCACGAGCAGGTGACGCATGACGCGCGCTAACTCCGGGAAAATTTTACGCGAACCAAGAACGGTCGACGGTCTTACGCCTTTCGACGACAACGTAACGACGCGACACCGGAGTAAAATGTACCGCACGACCGCGTGTTACGTAATCGTGCGCGCGCGGTACAATGTTAAACGCGATTCACGTCGTTGCGCGGGGCTCTTGCAGAATGGCGCGCGAAACCGGTCGCCATTTCGTTTTCAACCGTACTTCTCGGTTTCGGTTTCGACTTGCGGTCTCTTTTATTCCCGTCTTACCCACGCCCGGTGGAGTCGACGGCACGCGACGAACTGCGCGGGATTCGGCGCGTGAAATACCACTCCGGGTCGCGCCGTACACGTGTGCTGTCTGGCACAGTGGTTTCGCTCTTCGCCGGTGCCGCGGACCGACCCGCCACCGCCGGCCGCGCGACCTCGCTCCGCGCTATCCATAACGTACCGGTTGTGTGTGCTTACCGTTCGCTCACGGTCTCCTCCGGGTTGCGTTGCGATCCGAGCACATGTCGAACCGACGGCCATGGTCGCTGGACGGGTGGGAGAGTGTGGGATGTTGAGAGCAGCCGCTCGTCCTTTCACTCGCCGCGAAGCGATCGCAAAACGTACGCGGACCTGTTCGCGGCCGCTAGTACTACGCGCGTACCTCTGTTCCCGGTCGGTTACCGTTCGCGCGACTATTCACCGTCAACATTTCACCGCATTTACAACTCATCGCGTGCAAAATCCACTGCGCGTATAATTCATCGTATATATGTATATATTTACATTTTTGATACGATGGGCCATTAAGTTTATATTTACTGATACAAATTGATTTCCTTATCCGAAATTTTAAATTTAAAAATCACCGGATTGGCATATATATGTTATACGATTACATGATTATGGAATTATTGTGTCGGCATCGTCCAGTACATGTATTGACGTTTACGAGAGTGTTTCATCTTCTAGTTACGAATAATATATCGTATATTAAAAGTGTACGGGGTTAAGATAAATTAATATTAAAATGGTATATTTGAAAAACAAGGTTTAAATTAATTAATATGGAAGTGCGAAAATTATCAGAAGATAATTATTAATAGATAATATAGATGATAGTAAATATATATGATAGATAGAAGATAAATATTGAGATAGTTAAATGACCCGGGGTGTATTTAGATTTCCTTATAGAGGAGGGGTGACTCAAATTTTTTCTTTAATTCATGCTCAAAATGTGCATGTAAAATGTTTGGTAATATTTAAATGAGGCGAATCCTTAATGTTTGTGGTTTTTTTTTTTTTTTAATCTTATGCCGGATCCACTTAGAATCGACTTTTGTGTAATTTTACTTAACACCTGTCTGTGTTTTGAAAGTTATGTTTGTATTTTATTTGATTTTTCATTAAGTATGGACCCGACAAAAAGCCCAATTCAGTATTCACAGCTGCGTATAATTTGATTTCATTATAAAATGATCCACATTAAAAAAATTTGAAATGTGAATCTCACATATAATCGATTCATTAAATACGGATTCAGAGGGGGATGTTTTTTGTACACCGAATTACCTTAACTTCAGCGGAACAGTCACGTCGCGACGGCTTGATGCCGTTCGTCCGGTCAACGCAAAATATACATATTTGTTTAAAGCTCCCCATCAGAGTCGCGTGATACCGTATCACTGCGATGAACCAAAACAACAATTTTGTTTGTTGCAACACTTAGTGCGCTGACTGTGTATGTGACTGAAAATCGTAGGATACATGTTATCTGTCAACGATTACGTACCGTCTTCGCCAGAGACGCCCGCAGACAGGATTAAGGGGGGGGGGGTCTAACCGAGCCGGTTGCCTCGGGGCCCTCTCGATTACCCAAGTGAGAGGGGCCCAAATAGTTTTAAGCTGATACACATTTTTATCTTACTAAAATTAGTATTTTTATAGACATACATTTTATATACCTGTTAATTTTATAATTTTATAATACAATTGACAATTTGTGAAATAGTTAAAAAATGTATCGTTCCGCGAGCGTAGCAAGTGGCTTTGTAAAGTATGTTTTGTCAAAAGGGCCCATATAAAATTTCAGCCCCGGCGACCAATAGGTACTTAATCCGGCCTTGCCCGCAAACATGTACTTTAGGGGGAGGAAGTTGGCGAATAGTTATCGAGTTCTTGATATGAGTTGGAATCGGCTTACAGGGGCGTAATTTAGTGTGTGTAAATTTAGGTGTTTGATTGCACTCCTTACTCTTAAAATAGTTTCTATTGGCTTGTGCCCCGCTGAAATACTGCACGATTGTTAAAACGATTAAAATTAAATTGTATTTTCATTTTTATATTGACATTTATCAATCAATATTGATATACTGTCAATCATGATTACAACTTTAAATTACATTAGTTATAAATAGGGCTCGGAAGTTGATGCATTTTGCATTTTTTTTTCGAATTTTTTAGAAGATGCTATCCTGGCCACAAATGTGTTTTATTAACATTTGAATCCAAATAATTAATTTTTATTTTGCATTTTTTTGGTGTTTGTAACTTTTTAAGTCATTTTTTTGACATTTTTAGGTAATTTTTCCACATTTTTAGTCATTTTTTTTCTGATTTTACACTAGTTAATTTCTTATTGTTTCTTATCGACTATTATGCCGATAACTTAAGACTAGTCCGATTTTATCTCGTCGATTACATTCGTCGTTGTCGTGTTGTAGTGAATAGTATTATACCAACATTTTATTATTTTTTCCTAATATTCGATTAGTATCCGATATTATCTCGTCGATTACAGTCGTCGCTTCATTGTCATGTTATAGTAAATAATACTTATATTTAAATTTTATTATTTTTTCGTAATATTTTTAAAATGGTGAAAATAAAAACGTTGGTTAGTCCTCGTCTGCGTCTCCCAATCATTTCAGTGGATGTGGAGAGAAATTTTTCCAAATATAAATATTTATAAACATATAATCGTCACTGATTTACTTTTGATTACATCAAATACGCTCTAATCATACAATGCAATGATTTTAATTTTTGAGTAATTTGTAAACTTTGATAAATTTATAAAACAAATGTTTGTCATTTTTTATTTCATATTTTAAGGATATTTGTTGTCATTTTTATGTCATATTTTAAGTAGTTAATAAGTTTTGATAAATTTATATAGAATGTTATAGTAAAATAGAATAAAATATTAAAAAAAATGTATTTTCATTAATTTAAAACAAATATTTGTAATTATTTAGGTCATTTTTTAAAAATATTTTTCTCATTTTTTATGTCATATTTGCATTTTTTTTAAGTCGTTTTTTAATATTTTTAAGGTCATCAACTTCCGAGCCCTAGTTATAAATAAATATCGTGCTATAAGTTAATTGAGTAAAAAAAATAGATTAATACATTTACCATTGATTAAGTATTTTTTCACCCTTTCGTTAAATCAAGAAATAATAGTACGAGCGCAGCACAAAATACAAATTCGTCTTAATGCGATCATACTTATAGGTTATTAACTATGATTTAACCAATGTTAATAATATGTACATTCTTGGCTTTTCGGAGTTTAAGCGTGGTATTTATTGTTTCAAAAAATATTTATTTCACTGTTTTTATTCCTTATTGTTTTCGGAAAAATGATATAGCAAACAATGTAATATTTTCTATTGTATACTCGGACATTCTCATACTAAACTTATAATACAGTTGCGATCTTCTAATCGACACCCACAGACGTACGTTGTATAGTTCGCTCGCTTATCTGGTTAATCGTTATATAACTTCATTATCGTAATTCACGAGCTATTTTAATTCGTTATCGTTGTCGCGCGCTCCTTTGCATCGGGCGACCTTGTAAGTCGCGCGCCAAGGCGGCGGTATGCAGCCGATTCCGAGCCGCAATCGGTACGCTTCCCTTTTTTTTCCCCCGATCGTAATGCAACTACATCTACGTCCATAAAAAACAAAACTGTATCTCCTATCACACCACAAACATAACCAAAAAAATCAAAACAGTTCACCGGTAAGTTACCGCCACTATCACCTTTGTCAATTAATCAAATACCGTTTAATTAATGATATCGATATGAACCGCACATCAGGGACTACATATAGTCCACCTACACATAGCCCGCTATCAAAATAATTTCCTCTATTGACGCCACCTCATTCTCAACCGAAATGCAATCGAACAAACTAGTTACGTTCGGTACCAATTACACTGGCCCTTTGCACTTAATCATTTCATCTACTGAAAATCAAAACATCGGTAATCTACATCCTGTCAAACTAGGCAAACTTTTTATATCCAATTTTAAAGGCGTAACGAATGTCATGCCCATTGGTTCACAAAGAGTAAACATTTCTTTCACTTCCATAAATAACGCCAACGTTTGTCTCCGTTCCCCTTGGCTTCAAGAAATAAATACTCGGCCACCATTCCAAGCTCACTCATCTTTAGTCTCTGTGTTATACGTCTAGACCTGTGCGTATCTGATGAAGATTCCCGCGAAGGTCTCGAGTGCTGTTACGAAGTCGTTGAATTTCGCCGTATCAACATCAAGCGCGATAACATTTTAGTACCAATCAAACTCGTCGAAATCAAATTTCTCTCTCCTAAACTCCCCGACAACCTAAGCATTTTTAAAGTTATACATGTCTCTCCCAGCATCCGATCACCTGTACAGTGTATGCGTTGCCTCCGTTTCGGTCACACACAAAAGTTTTGCCGTAGCAAACAAAGATGTAGTCACTGCGGTGTTTTTAACCACGGAATAGAAACTTGTGAAAAACGTCTCACAACCTCACCACAATGCATTAATTGCAAATTAGATCACATCGCATCTAACCGCTCCTGTTCCGAATGGTCCACCCAACGGGAAATAAAAAAAATTATGGCTGTCGACAACAAATCATATGCTGAAGCCGCCCAAATCAAGCGATCTGGTTTAGTCTACAAGAGCAAATCCTACGCAGATGTTTCCAATCAAAATAAAGTC